TTGTAGTTGCACAATAAATGTGGACATGGAATTTCCAAGGTTTGCCACCCCTTATAAGTACATGTTCTGTCTTTGAGATCCAGCATATGAGTATAAGTTGTCACTTCATCAACCACCTTACATTGTGTGTCTCCATTGCAAGTTTGTGTACAATGAAAGGCAACCTTTAGGTTGGCCTCAATTTTGTCCCTAATCCTTGAGCAATATCCCCATTCCATTTTGCAACACTTTCATGTTTTTCTTTAGGTTAAATGCTAAATTTGGTCCCTCAACTTTAGTGAGTTGCACATTTTTGGTTCCTCAACAATTTTTTGCACTTTTTTGATTCCTCAACTATATGAAATGCACTTTGTTAGTCCTTCCATTAATTTGGGCCATTACTCCGCCCGTGTGGCTTTTTTTTTTTTTTTTCCTGATGTCGTGAATAAGAAAGTGTTGATATGGACAAAACGTTTTGTCATGTCATGTTCCTACGACTCAAAAATGCCAAATCCACTCAAATGAGCCCCACATTGCTTGCCAAAGCACCAATAAAGACACGATAAACTCTTGTGAACCCTAAATTGCTCTTTCATCTCCACTTTATCTGCAACATTGATCTTAATTCATATTTTCTTCTTCTCTTTTCTCGACGAAACTTTACGAGATCTAAATGGAGGGAATTCGAGATGAGATTTACTAAAACTGAGTTGCCTTTACTGTAACATGTTTGTGATTCTGGTTTGAAATAAAAAAGAAATAAAAAATAATAAAATTATGTTACTATCTCATCTCCCTCTTAATCCATCTTCTTCCTCACTTTGCTCTAGCTGAGATTGAACCCAACAGAATTTGGGTTCTATGTCATTGAACCCAGCTACTAGGATTCATTGAAGCCATTTATTGGGTTTGATGAATTCAGCAAAATCAAATGAACCCCTTCATAAACAATATCAATCAAACTCTAACCAAATTCTAACAAAAGTGCAATCAAATTATATATCAACTCCCAAAGTTATCAAGAACTAGGAATAGAAATCGAAATCGAAAGAGGAATAAAATTAGACAAACAACAGACGAACCTAGCAACTGGGTTCGACGGAACCCAGCCAATCTGGGTTCCATCAAACCTAGCTGTGCTTGGTTCAACGAAACCCAGATTGGCTAGGTTTCGTCGGACCCAGCACAGTTGGGTTTCATCGGACCCAGTAGTTAGGTTCGACGGAACCCAGTCGATCTGGGTTCCACTGAACCCAACACAATTGGGTTTGTTGAAACCCAGATCGGCTGAGTTCATCGAACCTAGCACAGGCCCAACCATTCTAGGTTCCAAAGGATCGCCAACACAAAGCCCCAGCCATTCTAGGTTCCAAAGGATTGCCAATGCAAAGCCTCAGCCAATATGGGTTCCAAAGGATCGCCAACCTCGACTCAATCAAACAACCCGACCGTATCTGGGTTTGGTGAGGTCGAAGAGAAAGAAAGCAAAAGAAAGAAGGGAAGAAGATGGATCGAGAGGGTGAGGGTAAGGGTGATAAAGTCATTTTGTTTATTTTTATTTTTTGTTAAAATATAAATATTCATATGTGGCATTTTATTTGTTTATGCAATATAATTATGAGATATTTTATTGCCACATCATCAAAAGATTTAAAAGAAAATGCCACGTGAAATTATTTAATGGCCACGTCATACTTAACTGATGGAAAGACTAACGGAATGCATTTTTTAGAGTTGAGGGATCAAAAAAGTGCAAAAAATTGTTGAGGGACCAAAAATGTGCAATTTACTAAAGTTGAGGGACCAAAAATGTGCAATTCACTAAAGTAGAGGGACCAAATTTAGCATTTAACCTTTTCTTTAAGCTTTATAGTGCATTGATCCATAATGGTATTCAACATGGTTATTGGTGCCTTACACCTAGCTTTCAATATCCATGAGTTAAATGTCTCAACCATATTATTGTCAATTGATTTCACACCTGAAATAATAATCAATAAAGGCCTTGCACAATTTTGTTCTAAGTTCATTAAATATTGATAGCCTTCTTATGTTTTACCTTTCATGACCTCCATTTGTTCCTTCCATGTCTCCAAAAATGGTGCCCGAGCACAATTCTAGAACTGAATTTTGCAATCATCACCCTTATCTATCTTTGCAAAGTTGTAATAAATATGTTTAGCACACCAGCTATGATTCGCAAATAAAATACATGCTGTACAACTGCACTAATTGCCTACAAAAAGGAAAAAAAAAATAATGTTGATTAGTCATAAAGCCAAACAATCAAATGCAAATAAAAGTACAAAATGTGAAAAACAATAACTTTAACTAACCTTGTGCTGATTTGAGATAATGGTGAAATTTTCACTAGAACCAACCTCTAAATCATCTCTCAAGGCCTCAAAGAACCACTCCCAGAAATCAATGCTCTCTCCTTCTACTATAGCCCATGCAACAAGGTACATTGGTTCATTTCCATCCTTCCCAACAACACACATTAATACTCCCTTGCAAACACTTTTAAGAAAGCATGCTTCAACACAAACATATGGCCCGCATCCTCTTTTCCAATCATCCTTGAGTACTTTTAAACACATAAAACCTCTTGAACTTAGGTTTAGTAGGATTTGATCTATCCACGGCTATTTTAGTTGAATTCCCAAGGTTGACATAAAGCAAATAATAAGCATAGCCAACCATCAAACCATATTCATCCTTGAAATTGCCTCTCAACTCCTAGATAATCATTTTTTTTTTTGCCCTCACACATTTTTCAAAACTTGCATTAACTCTCAGCTCATTATAAGTTGTCTTCATCATATCTGAAACCTTGATAAAAGGTGTATTTTTTACCTTTTCTCTCCAATACTTGGCAACATGTAATTGTGTGAGCATGGGAATGTCACTAGTCCTAATACACCTATGCTGTCTATGATAGGTTTCACCCGAAAGGAATTTGTTTTTACATCCAGTGAAGCAAATATTTCCCACCCACAAAATTGTCCAGCACACTTATACCTCTACCTTCTAGGTTCATTTTTAACAGTGAGCAATTTACATATTTTGGATATAGAATACTTCCTAACCGCTTCCCTAAATTGAATATGATTTATGAATCTCATACCAACCTCAAACCAAGGAATGTCCCAATTAGGATTGTAGTATATGTCTGTAACTCCCATGCTTAGCGGATCAACAGCAATAGAAAACACATCCTCTTTCTCCTTAGATGATGAAAATGCCCTCAATTGCCTACAGTCATCACTGTCATAATAATCCATGTCTTTACTAGTTTCACAATCATCAGAATCATCTACTAGCAATTCCCTTACATTTCTAACAGGATCGCCTCTTTTTAGTATTGTAGGGGTCAAGTCATGTCCCTTGAATGGCCTAGCCGAGACAGAGATATCCTTATATTTTTTTTACTCTCATAGCTGCCTTTTCTTTCTCATTTTCTAGCTCCTTTGCTGTTTTCACCTTCTTTTTTATCTCGGGTTTTCTAGTAAAATTAGGACCAGCATCACCACTAGGTTGTTGTTGCTCTGTGTTGATCTTCCTTCTCTTCACTGGCAGTTTAGATATCCTTGATGGATTAGCCTCTTGTTGCTCAACATCGACATTTGCAAATGAGTTTATACAGGATCTAGCTTGAGCATACACTAATTGCCTCTCTTCACCATCATTATCACTACCAACAGGACTAAGTACCCCTTCATCTGAATCATCATCCAATTCATCAAAAAACACATTGTCTTCACTAGCATTAACATTCTCTTGAAAGCCCAAATGGTCTTGAGAAATGGTACCCAAATCTTCTTCATTTTGTTCACCAAAAACACCATTTTGTTGCACAGATGAGGCTAAAACAATGTCATTATGATCCACATAAACAAATACCTCATCATGCTTTTGAAGAATTTCTCTGATATCAACAATGCTACGATGACTTGAAATGGGCTTTATATCACTGAAATCGAACCTCGACCGCTTGAAATATACTTGATGCTCTCAATTCCTTCATAGGCTAAGCCATTTATGAAACCCATGATTTGTTCAATGGACAGTGTCATCTCATGGACCCCAAATGCCTCTCATTCGCCACCAACATAATCACCAAGTGGCCCATTATCAAATCGACCATTGTGAAAAAGTGTTAATATACTTATATACTCCACATCAACCATGTTTGCAAATAAAGACCCAAAAAAAAAAAAAAATCAGAACCTAGGAACACATGTGGGACATTGTAACCCTAAACTTAAATATTATTGAATACACACAATAACCACACAACAACCAAATAAAACTCCATTACTATTTAAAAATAAAAAGTAAAAGTGATAATAAAGTAAAAAGCCCTAACTTTTTCAGAGTCGAGCTTCATTCCATAAAAATAAGTTAAAATTAAGAAAGAGCTATGGAAAAATCCCACATAAACCACAGAGACAAGCCTTCTTGAGATTCTTTCCCCTTGAGATTCTCCAAATGTTGCTACACTTGATAGAGAATTTGTTCTCTTTGTCCTTTGCCTTCTTCACTTTTATGTCCTGTTGCTTCTTTACTTAATAAATCCATGATTTTTCATTGTTAATTGAATGAAGATTAAGCGGTAAACCTAGGTGGAGTAAAATTGGTCCACATCAGCACCCAATCAGCTCCCAATCAGTGCCAACTCATCAAGCTTTAACGGGCAATGGGTGGGTCTAATGGCTGGATGATGTCATTCTCTTTAAAAGGGCTGTTATGCGGACAATGTGAAGTAGAGGGGCTGATTTGCCATAGTTTCTAGTACAGGGGATGATCTGCCACAACATTACAGGTACAGGGGCTAAATTGCACCTTCTGCCTTTATTGTAGCGTGATTCAATTCTAAATCAGTAGTCGCCAGTCGCGGCAGCCCCTGCAATTAACCTCCCCCAATCTCCAGAACGTCATTGCTCCGCCATGCTTAACGGTTGCAGCATCAGAGCTCTCTGGGTCCTCAACAACAGCCTCGACACCGTCGTCTTCTCCAGGTTCGTTCCGTCATCACAACCCTTTTTCTCCTCCAATTTCCCCGAATTACACATTGTGAACTAAGTTTCTCATTCACTCTTTCTCTACATCAGAATCGACTACAACTTTAGGGTTTTCGAAAACGTTAGGGTTTTTAATTTCTCCTACTTTTGAGATTTGTAAATGTATCTCGATTTTTATGCTCGGGAAGAGTTATACCAAGCTCTAGATTCACTTGTAATTTTGATTTGATTTGATGTATAGGAGGTTTCCGGTGGTGGAGAGGCGGTGGCGTGCTGCTTGGTTGAGCGAAAACGACACTTCCATTGAAGATCCTGTTGAGGACACTGTTCTATCTTCGCTCCCTACTGATTCAGAGTTAGCCTCCGCTTTTTCTGAGAGAAGAAGAAGGTTAGTTAATACTTAATACTCTTTTAATTCTGTTTGGATATTTCGATAATACTGGTGTATTTTTGTTGGAATTCATGGTATCTTTTGAGTTAAATTCTTTCAGTTCAATGCCCTGTTTTTCTTTTCTGGGATTATGATTGCTGAATGGTGATTTATTTGTATTTATGTAGGGAGGGATCTCTGCGTGGGTTTGGTATACGAGTAACTCAGTCAACAAAAGGATCAGATTCCTGGGTTGATGATCCAATTACGCGGCATGTTATAGGCATTTACATAAACAAAGTGGAGGAAGGAGAAGGAGAAGGAGAGAATCATCTGCTATGGCCTTTAGTCTTGCACATAAAGGGTCTTTATAGCATCCTTGTGTTGCCTTTAGTTGAGCCGAAGCATGTAAAGGCCTATGGAAGATTGTGTAAAAGATCGGATTGTGGAAATGCCATCAGAAAAGAAGAAAGTTTATCTTCCCTCCTTCTTGACCTTCCATCCATCACAGGGTATGGTAAGTTACTTGAATTATTTAATGAATAATGTACAGATTATTTATAAAAGATTAGTTAAGTAGTTTTTGGTATCTACTATTCATTTTTCGTCAATGGTAGATGAATGTGAAATAAACCTATTGACAGAACAGTATCTATCACATGAATAAGAAGGCTAGAATGGTTCTCCTATAATGCAATTTTGTTCTGCCTGCTAGTTACTTAATGTGGTTTTCAGGTTGTTTTGTACTTGTGTATTTGATTTGTAGTTTCTCCTTTTTGGTGCTCGAATTTCATTTCATTTTAAGATCAGATCGTGTACTTTATCTACCATTTATCTACATCAATACACACAGAATACTTTTTCTCTTGAGAGAATTTGCGTTTTTGCATAATGACTAAAACTCACTTCAAGTATTGAATAATTGATGTGCAATAATGTGGAAGATTGTTAGTAATCATAATTTTTTTAGAAGTGACATTCTTTTGGTGATACATATCTTCCTATCTTTATTATTTACATTACTAAGGATACTGCATTTTCCCACTTCATATTGAATTGAACTTATACTTGGGTTAACATGATCTCTGCTTGGATGCCCTATGTCTTGAACCTTCTTTGTTTGTTTTGCAGCACAAGTTTTATCAACAGTTCTCAGTCGTGCATTTTGAAAATTTTGGGAACTTTTGGTGAATTTTGAATTGCAATTATGTATTCTCTTTGTGACAAGGAAAAAGAGTATTGGTCTATTAATTTGGTGCCTTCTTTCTTTCTGATGCAGGGCTTGTATGGTAGCATATGCTATTGGTGATATAGTTACTGGTGATGTGATAGAACCTGAGGTAGTTGTAAGTGCATCACCATCGGTAGGTGGGTTGCTTGATTCACTAACAGGCAGTATTGGAATATCGGGTATCTCTTCAAGAGGAAAACCTGTAGCCTCACCTGTTCCACCTTCAGCTCCTTCTAGCACTGCTGCAACAGGGGCTGTTGCCTCAGATGCTCCAAAAGTTGGTTCAAGGCCTTTGGATAAAGATGCACTTCAGAGTTTCATAGGTTCTGCATTGCCCTTTGGTTGGTACTTTTTAATTCTGGATCATCTCTGTTTACTCTTACATCTTTTTGTTTGTGGATCAATATTAACTTGCCTAGCACTACTTGTGTTGCTTATCTTTTCTTATAGGCACACCCTTGGACTTGAACCATTCCAATATTTCTTCTATCAGGGTTATTGGCTTTTCTTCATCAGATCTGCCTCCTCAAGATATTAAACAACCAGCATGGAAGCCATATCTCTACAAGGGAAAGCAGAGACTGCTATTTACAATCCATGAAACTGTTTATGCTGCAATGTATGATCGAGATGAGATTCCAGATAGTTTATCAGTCTCAGGACAAATAAACTGTCGAGCAGAATTAGAAGGACTCCCAGATGTATCATTCCCATTGACTGGGTTGAACATGGCTCAGATTGAGGTTTTATCTTTCCATCCCTGTGCCCAGGTTCCAGAACAAGGGATGGAAAAGCAAGCACTTATGTTCCAACCACCTTTAGGTAATTTTGTTTTGATGCATTATCAAGCAACCTGTAGCCTTGGACCTCCCATAAAAGGGTTCTATCAATTGTCGATGGTTTCTGAAGATGAAGGTGCATTTTTGTTCAAGTTGTGCCTGATGGAAGGTTACAAGGCACCTCTGACAATGGAGTTCTGTAATGTTACCATGCCATTTCCAAGGAGAAAGGTTGTGTCTTTCAATGGGACTCCATCAATTGGAACTGTTTCAACTACAGAGCACTCTGTTGAATGGAAAATTATAACAAGTGGACGAGGCCTCTCTGGGAAAAGTATTGAGGCCACTTTCCCTGGAACTGTTAGATTTGCACCATGGCAAATCCAAAGAATGAGTTCATCCATATCATCATTTGGAAGCACACTAGATGAAGATAGTGATAATGAGACTGACAGTAGTAACAATATGATTAACGTGGAGGACTTTTTAATGGATAAAATGAACAAGGATCTTCCTCCAGTTGATCTAGAGGAGCCTTTCTGCTGGCATGCATACAATTATGCTAAAGTATGTCCTGTGTCTTTCAATCTTTTTTATTTTTTCTTTTAGTTGATCTTACAAAATTCAGAGAACCAGAGGTTATAGTATTTCATGCTAATTTGACATGTGGTTTGTTCACCATTCTATGAATATTGCTTACCTGAGCATTCAGTTACCTTATGCATCAAAGAATGTTCTTATGATTTTCACTATCTTATCACACAGTTTTGGAGTTAAAAAAGGAAAGTTATATAGGGGTTCATCACAAATGTGTTGAATCTGGTTTCCACTTGCATCTATCCATGTCAAGGTCAGCTACTACTTGAATTGTAGAAGAAGTTGGACTCAGTTTTCATTTTAGGTTTCTGAATCCTTGACTTCTTAGGGCATTGTTCTGTTTGAGCAGTGTGGCTTATTGCATTACTCCATGATTCCTTGGTTTTTCCTTCTTACTAATGTCTCTAGAGTAGTCTATTTCAGGCATAACCTTGTCAGTTGGATGAATCATGACTCTACCTAATTCAGAATTATTACTCACTGAAGCCTTTTCTTTTATCAACAGGTGTCTTTCAAAATTGTTGGGGCATCAATATCTGGAATGTCCATTGATCCCAAACTGGTAAGTCTGCATGACACCTTTGGTCTGTCATTCTGCCAACTCTACCCCAACAAGATTTTTGGTTGCCGTGAAAAATTTGATGAGGAAATAAAAATTAAGCCTTTCATAAGCCTGAAATTGCCTGAAGTCTCTGTATCTCAAAGCTTTCTCACTGTTGTCTGTACCATATGCAGGTAACCATCTATCCAGCTGTGAAAGCACCTGTGGAGTTATCGGCTCAGGTAGGATGATTTCACAATTTTTGACATGATAACATACTCCCTCTATCCATGTTTTCCACTCAAATTTTCAATTTGATTTTATCTTTATAAAATCATTAATTGGTTCTTTAAAGTTTTCGTTATACTGTAGAAGCAAAACTTGAAATCTGGTATATTTTTAAGAAAAAATGATCAACCTTGATTATCAAGTGCATTTTAAGTTAAGGGTTGTGTCAGTTTTTTCCTGAGACAGGGAGTAGTGATAATTGATTAGGGAAGAATCTGCCATTGACGACCAGAACTTTTATAAATGACTTTGTCCGGAACTTGTTCTTTGGAGCCTACGCTTGACGGCGACTTCATCTATTTTCCTGTTGCTTCCTGCTATAAATCGGGTGGAAGCCTTTAAATTTATATTTATAAATTTAACTATGTATATATCATTCATTATTTGTTTTAACAGGTTATTTCTGGGGATTATATTTTGTGGAATACATTGGGAAAGTGCCCATCAGCTGCCACTGCAAAAGCTTAGGCTATACAACCCGCAACTTGTAGCAATATAATTTGTTGAGAAGTTTGATGAAAATGACACCCTTGCCTTCTATTCAACAGCATATGCACACTGGGTCAGGAACAAGTCTCTTATCTATTCAGACAGCCAATTCTGGACATGCTCCAAGAACAGTCAGTTCTATTTCTTTTTCACTCTTCCATATATTAATGCTAGAATTTGATATTTGAAAGAAAGTCAATGTTCTGATTTCATGTTTTGGCGCTTCTAACGATATCGTTATGTTAGAACTCTGTTACACACAAACTGAAAATCTTATTAACTGAGTTTGTTGAACTGAATTTGCCTTGAAAATATAATATTTGCTGTATTCTCATTCTCCTTTTTCAGTCTTGCATTCATCAATTGAACTATTTAGATGGTCATTGGTCCCTAAACTGAATCCACACCGTGTTTGCATTCTGAAATCTGGATACAATTTTTTGTTTTTAAGGATAATTTAAGGTAAGTTCTTGTATTGCAAAAATCTGGACACAAATTTTATGATGCAAGCCACTACACTCAGACTAAAAAAACGGCGAAAAAGAAAAAGACCTGGTGAGAATGTCCCCCACCAACCATTTCTCCACCTTCTGCATGTGGCCTCCTCTCCTCCACTTATCCACGTCCACCACTATCACTCCGGTGTTGCAATTCTTTTATTTGAGAATAGGGGCAAATTTGGGAAGACGATAGCCTGGTTTTGGAGTAATTTTGAAGAGTACTTTTTAGAAATAAACTTTCTGATCTCCCCTTTCTTAGAATTTTTTTTTTTTAATTGATGTTCTGAAGATATTATCTAAACTAAGAACTATAAGAAACCGAGTCATCAAATTTAAGATATGTTTTCAATACAATTAAGTTAAAAAAGAAAATAAAAAATCACACACACATGTACAAATAGAGACATGTCTTCAATTTGAATTCAAAAATGTGTTTTTCATGTTGGACTGCACGATGAAAGTGCAGTCCAACAAATAAATTTACTAGGCATAAAATTCACTTCAATTAGATCAAATAGCTCGTATCTAGAGTAGGTAATGACAAGTGAAGTGAAGATTGAAGATTCAATACGAAGCTTAAATTGGATGAAAAGCCCACTCTTTATCAGGCCCAGAAAACTGGGTTTTGAAAAGCCCAAGTTTACATTTTGAAGAATAGTTACACTTAACTACTAATACACCACCTCATGTTCATTTTTTAGGCGTCCCCACAAGCGTAGTGGTAGCAGAAAATAGCAGCGATTAGAAAATTGAATGCTTTAAATTAACGAGGTGTATAATTGGACGGACGGCTAGGTTAGTTTAATTAAAGTGGGTGAAACACAGTTGAGTTCCGTTGACTTTTAGGTGCAAAAGGAAGAGATGATAGAAGGAATAGGGCGGGGCAAGGACTCTGCAGTCTGATCAATTCTTCAGCGCTCTCGCTTTGCATACTTCTTTCGGGTTGTAATTATTGTTG